TAATTACTTTATCAAAGTACTTTAAATCTGCAATGCCACTTCTAATCAGAATGGATCAATGCACGAAAAATTTGACTACATGTCATTCAGGCCACAAATGTCGGCCTGGCCAGGCTGGCAGCTCTGGGCTGAATGTCTACTTTTTTCAGCATGTACCCAATAGCAACTGTGTTTCAACCTCGATTACACTAGCCATGTGATGACTCTGGACAATTCACTAACGGCTATTTGTCTCAAATTCTACATCCGATAGTATGCCGACTAAGTTGCGATATATATCTACCCTCATGGTTAGTATGCGACTAGTTAGTGGGTATGAAGAGCTCAAACGATTGAGCGCAAGAGTTCTGTGCCATGATAGACTCCTGTCCCAGGCTACATCTAGTAACAGTTGTAGTGAAAATATCGGACGACTGAGTCTACCACGAGGCGGCATTCCAATACGGAAAGGGGAAAGGTATTTCATCTTCCAATTACATTCATTCCGACTAATCAACTACATAGTATATGTTCTTGTACTTACTATGTCTATACTCGATCAATATTTTCAATCTGATTCATTCCCATTCACTTGACCTAGATGAGGAAAATCTATGTTATTGAGAATAAGCTAGATTAACTATCAAATGATTATGACGATGATATATTACGATTTATAACTGTTAATATTCGATTTTTCTATTATAGGAAGCAAGTACAGGACGTCGTCGTTTATTATCTCGAGTTCAAGGTACATCAGATAATTCCAATAGTCCATTTGATTTTTGGTCATGTGGTTGGACAAATTTATCAATTCAATATAATGTTAAATATCCCATGAAAGCATTTTTTAGTGAAAATAGTAAACAACGTTATAATGATATATTTCATTTATTAATTATTTTACGTTATGTTCAAAATGAATTAAATAGTTTATGGTTAACTTTAAAAACTCAACATCAAAATTCTTTAATATGGCATTTAAGAAATGCAATGTCATTTTTTATAAATAATTTTCAATATTATATTCAAATTGATGTATTAGAATATAAATATCAACAATTAATACGTTCAATATTATCAAGTACTGATTTTCAACAAATAAAACATTTACATGAATTATTTTTATCTGATATTCAACAACATTCATTTATGCTCTTAGGAACAGCATATCAATCAATAAGAAATATTTTATCAATATGTGCTTCATTTTGTTTAACAGCAAAACAACAAGATAATAATATTAATCTTGATGAAAATATTTTACGACAATTTGGACGAGATTTTAATGATGAAATTAAACTTTTATTTGGAATATTAGGTATGGTTCAAAAACATAATGCTTTACCACATTTAGGTATTTTTTTAACAAGACTTGATTTCAATCGATTTTTGACAAATAATAATGGATCATTTGGAGAATTTTAAAAGATTTAATAAAGGTACTGATTGAATGTTAGTTCATTTTTTTATTGGTTCTTGTCTTTTCTATTTGCTCTGTTTAACTATAAAATAGATAAATATCAATGCGCTTATTTGACTCATTTTTTTTTTCATTCATCAGTAAAAGACAACAAGAAATAAAATGTGTGTTCAGTCGAATATAATAAGTTTATTATTCATCAAAATTCACCTTTAATATCTCCTAATATTAATAGTGAATGGAAAAATTTTCGATATGACATGATCAACTACTAAATCGGATATGAATCGTTTGTTCAATCTCATCTACACCTTGAAAATCAAAAAAATTCTCAGCTATATCTGCCATGCCAAAATATTGTTGTGGTGTGACGTCGAGTATATTGTAGAAAGACACTAAAATAGATGGTCAGGTCGAAAAAGTTATTTATTGTTGACGCATGTATTTGGCAAATTAAAACACAAAAAAAAACACTTTTGTATTAGCAAACAATAATGTTAAATACGTGTTTCAGATCGATAGACAAAGTGATTTAGCATAACTATCTAGATAATTCATGAATAGCACATAATTGAATAATTATTGAAAAATGATTATCGCATTTTTTGCAAACAATTTCCGACATAATAATCAACAATATTCTAAATTCACTTGCTTGTTATAGTGAATCTTCCGATGGAAGGCTGTTGAAGTCAACGTGTACACAATAAATTCTAACCGATAGTCAATTAGAGCAAATTAGAAAATTTTAAATAAAAAATACTACTGCGTCCATAAAAAATATATTCAATCCGACACTGCTCCGAACTAATCAAATAAAAAATTGATGAAAACTGATCATTTTTTAATGATTGATGAAAAAAAATATCGAATGAAAAAGTTGATCATAATTAATTAGGTACAACAAAAATAACCACTTGTAGGAAAGCTAATCAAATTAGCTGATCATGTCGCTTTTGGTGATGATGAGCATAAGTACGAGCAATGATGATCGTTCATTGTGTATTATCTAATCGAACAGAATTTTCTCGAGATGAATAAACATTGAATAAGGTAAGCACAGTGAAAACTACTATGACGGCTTAGAGAGAATCAAATGCTTAACGAAAAACCATTTTTTCACATATACACAATTTAACAATCAGTAACATTAATGTAGTAATACTATAGGTAATACATAAAAGACTTTAACAGGAAAAAAATCATTGCTACACATTTTATTTGTCTGATGTCATAATCAATCAAATTGTGAATGATGGAGATATTAACAAAAAAATTAAGCTATCTATACTTGTAATTCATATTATACGTTGTAAATACCGTTGAAGAAGTCAAGCACTATATAAGATGACCATCAAACGACTGTTGAAAGTTAAGTGCAAATGTTCACTATAAATGGTTCTCAACTAGGAAAAAACATTCAGAGAGTTTTCAAAAGAATAGATTTCGACGGGAAATATTGCTTTTGACAATGGTATCTGCGATGGCATGACATTGATAATGTATATTAAGAGAAAATTATTCACAGACAAGCAGACAAAATACCAGGTGCAAACAATAACTCTGAGAACATGACGATAGAACACATAAATGTTGACAGTACTGCTCAAATGACCAAGTGTACAGATAAATAGCATTTCACAACATACGAGATTGCATTGAAATTAATTTACTACAGTTGCCAATGATGATGCCATGGCTTGTTGTCTTTAACAGAATAAGAGAGATTTTCCACTTTTATAAGGTGGGTGTGGATGTCGGTCTGCCTATAGTTTGGCTATGGAAGTGGGTGTGGGTGTGGATATGCGTGTAGAGAAAGTCATCACCAACACCCACATCTTCTTGAATTTTTTTTCCTAAGTTTGAAATCGTATACATGACTAATTGTACTCATAGTTGCTATCAATTTTTTAAAAACGATGCAACATCACTATAATCATTGTTGATTATGCATATGTGCAAAGGTATATTACTTGTAGTTTGATTAGCGACAAGAATCTGTTGAGATTCGCAGGCTAAGTGTGCTCTAAATTTTTATCGAATTCCATGATTTATGTTTATCTATATCATGAGCTACATATGACATTCAATAAGTCTTTAGAGATGAAAGAATAGTATTGTTTGAAAATATTCATTGAAAAGCCTACTTAATATAACTAAAGATTGTTTTGGATAGCTTAGTCTTTCTTTTCAAACGGGATTGTGAGGTTTTATTTTAAATTTTTTCATCAAAATGAACAAAATTAAAACTTTGTAAAAAAATATCAGTCTTATTTTTTCGTTTTTTTTGTAAGAATTTCAATCTCACGGGCTGATGATCACATTGGCATAAATGCCCGACGAACCAGTGCCCGTTGACAAATAGAATGATATAGTATATAGACGGCCAACAATGAGTGTAAGTGATTGGCTAACATAATCGAGTGATCCAACGATTCCATCAGAGTAACAATAGGAGCCTGAATAACAATTACTCGATGATAAATGATTAGCTCCTGACCAACCTGTATAGGCTGAGCCAGCTTCAAAGTCTCCATTGATCAAAAGATTTGAAATACCATCGGAGACTGACACATCGTCCAATGTCCAATAGTTTGGATCTTGTTCAAACCCAAAAGAGAGAGTGACACAAGTCTGTGTGGCTCTGTATGTATAGCTGTAGTATGTAAAAGTGGTACCCGTCATTGACGGATTTGCTAAGTACAGAAGCGTTGTATAAGTTGAACCACATATATATGAAGTCGTAGCTAAAACAAATTTTCATATTTTCTCTGCTTTGAAAATAAGTATATATAAGTATATATGCTCTGTAGCTTATATTTTTCCAATGCTAATAATGAAAGTACGTGAAATTTCTCTTATCTCATATTGTTTGATATAAGTATTGATAAAGACTTGCATTATTGAGACTATGTAGTAGTAACAACCAATGTGAACATATTCTAACGCTCAAAAATGCTACATTCGATTAAGTGAATAAAAGAGTGACTATGGAAGGGATTCAAGCGAAGCAATATTATTATAAGTAATCTTTTTCAAAGTTAGATTTCGAAATCGAATGAACTTACAGCATGTGCAAATATATTGTTCAATCTATATAGACTCAATCGTTGGTCTTAAAAAAGACACTAGAAGTAGAAAAAGTACTTGAAAACTATGTGATGATACTCATTCTCACGTTCAAGACTTTGGTATTTGAGAAACAAGAATAACTGCAAAAAATACAATTACCATTGGATTCGTCAAATTTTAATTACCGACTTGAGTGGTCTCAATATATGTTTCATTAATCTTTAAAATTCTTCGTTGAAATTTATTAAGACACATACCATTGTGAGAACTCAGATTACAGATCTGAGTGAGTGAGAGTGTTAAATTATCGATAATAACATCGTTTAGTTACACACGACAGAAAATGTTGTGTTAATAAGTGCGTTTATACGAGCCTAGCAAAGCTAGTTTGGATCGAGTGAGTGTGAAGCATTTTCTACCAGTTGCGAACAATAGATGGTGAACCGATTTCGAATATTAGTCAAGAACACTAGACAGTCTACGTATATGCTACTCAGTTCGAAAGTACTGAGGACAATACATACTAATAGGTTTCGTTTCAAATAAAGAAAAGCAAGCCAGTGTTCAAACTCTTCTAAAGAATTTTCTCGCGTACAAAATTGAGATACTTTCAATCACTCTTATCGGGTAGAGAGATCAATGACGTGTCTTTCGTTTCTTTTCTAGTCTAAATGGAAATCTCACGCTTGCAATCGATCATGGTACAATGATTTGAAACATTCTCAGAATGACTGAAATTGTCATAACCAAGAAAGTGTTTTCAGTCTAATCCACTACGGTATCAAAATGTCAAACACGGTAGGATAGACTTTTTTGATAAGCAAAAGCTCTAGGCGCGTCGATCATTGTGACACTGAGAGGCTTTATTCATTCTGTAAATATGTTGTCATTGTTTTGATTCATCCCTTTATTATAGGAGTTATCAAAAAGTATGAATTGATATTTTGAGAAAACAGATCTATCTTGATGTTGCAAAATGTATTGAATCGACAGTCATTCTTTGTATAGTTGCTTTTATTTTTCACACTTTTCGTCAACCAATCTTCTACTTAAGAATGTTAGGTACTGAATGAACAAAAATTTAATGGTAAAACCTTGCACATGTTTACTTTGAAAATATAATGAGTTTGGGTCATAATATTTTCTTATATTGAATGCAGTTGATCTTTGAGGTATAATTATGAAATAATCAAAATTACCACAATGAGGAAGAAGGATTCTAATATTATGCAAAGATAATTTAACAATCATTCTATTAACTCAATATAATCTGCTTGTCAATATAATAATAAAGCTAGGTTAAGTCGATATCAATTTCGAAAAACTAGTTTTTGTCGGACTAAAACATCCTATGAAATAACGTAAAGGCAAAAAAAAATCATAGAAGAACAAGGTGTTTTTATTGTTGAACATAGAAATAAACATGTAGCTTACTAGTATCGGCACGAATCTTAGATGATTATAAAGTTCGTTTGTTATCATTCAATATTTCATTCATCAATGCAGATGTAGAAACGAAACGTATAGAAAAATATTGAGACAATTCTTCCATGTTATTTTCAAAAGTCAAAGTAATTTATTTATTTTTCATTACTATTTATTTTGAAGATCAGAACAATTAAATATAGATGATAGTTCTTTAGAACAAACAACAGGAAAAAAAGATGTTTACATCCTACCCATTTTTAAAAGAGGACAATCTGAAGTTGTTGAATATGAAGACTTGAAAAACATCATATGAATTTCTATTATCAGAAGGTCATTTGAAAATTAATTGCTTGCTATTATTTGATTAAAAAATCATTGTGTTCTAATGAAAATCTTTAACTGAAAAGTTAACATGAGTTTCACATTATCTATTGATTTTCATATAAAAATAGGATATTCATCATTATTCTTATCAGCTACTTCGCAAAAAATTTTCTATCTACTA